TCCCTCCCTCCATCCTTCTCTCCCTCCCTCCCTCCCTCTCTCCCTCCCTCCCTCCCTCTCTCCCTATCTTCTCTCCCTCCCTCCCTCTCTTCCCTCCCTCCCTTCCTCCCTCTCTCCCTCCCTCCATCCTTCTCTCCCTCCCTCCCTCCCTCTCTCTCCCTCCCTCCCTCCCTCCCTCCCTCCCTCCCTCTCTCCCTCCCTCCCTCTCTCCCTCCCTCCCCCTCTTCCCTCCCTCCCTTCTTCCCTCTCTCCCTCCCTCCCTCCCCCTCTTCCAACCCTCCCTTCCTCCCTCCCTCCCTCCCTCCCCTCTTCTCTCCCTCTCTCCCTCCCCTTCTTCCCTCTCTCCCTCTCTCCCTCCCTCCCTCCTTCTCTCCCTCCCTCTCTCCCTCCCTCCCTCCCTCTCTCCCTCCCCCTCTTCCCTCCCTCTCATACCTCAAACTCGAGAGTCTGAACAGCTGTATCAAAAGCCGGATGCAGAATACCTGTTTTTGTTTTTTTTATTATTTCCTTTTCTCTCAATCTTGCTCTTGCATCCTTTTGTTTTTTCTTCTTCTTTCTTTCTTTCTTTCTTTCTTTCTTTTTTTTTTTTTTTTCTTTTTTTTTTCTTTTTTTTTTACTTCTTATCTTCTACACAATAAAGCCATTTTTTTTTTCCAACACACTTCTGTGCTATCTTTCAACCCTGAAGGAGAGTTAAGCGAAGACCTCCCCCCCCACACACACACACACTCAAAAAAACAAAAAAAAAAGAAAAAAAAAGAAAGAAAAAAACGTTTCCGTAACATTTGTGCGTTTCCCGTTCCCTTCATAGTGAGAGAGGGGAGGATGGTGGGGGGGGGGGGGCAAGAGAGGGAGGGGAGGAGTGGGGGGCGGAAGGGAGAGAGAGAAACAGAGAGGAAGAGAAAAAGAGTGAAGAGAGAGGTTGGAAAGGGAGTGGGAGTGATAAAACGATGGGCAGAGGAGAAAAAGTGTGTGTATGTATATATATATATATATATATATATATATATATATATATATATATATATATATATTTATATATATATATGCATATATACATATGTATCATTTGTATATATAATATGTATATGTGCACGCGCGCGCGTGTGTGTGTGTGTGTGTGTGTCTGTCTGTGTGTGTGTGTCTGTGTGTGTGTGTGTGTGTGTGTGCGGGTGTGTCACTGTATGTCTGAAAAGATTTATCTATAGGTTTAACGCATTCTATAAAGTACTTGTTTGCTTCTATATATCGCTCACTGCGAGGTAGAAAGAGAAAGAGAGAGAGAGAGAGAGAAAGAGAGAAAGAGAGAGAGAGAGAGAGAGAGAGAGAGACGAAGAAAGAGAGATAGAGATGGGGGGGGAGACCTCTCTCTCTCTCTCTCTGAAAACGACTCGGAGGAAATGCGCTCATTTTCGCACTCGATTCCTCAAGACTCTTATCTGTTACGACTCACTTCCCGACAAACTCTTCCTCTCACCTCCCTCTCCCCCCCCCCCTCCTTCTACCTCATTATCCCCACCTCCTCTTCTTCCTCTTCCTTCTCCTCTTCGTCAATCTCTCCTCCACTGCCTTCGTCTTTTTATCTTCTCATTCCCATCTCCAAGTCTTTATTTCTCTCTCTGTTTCTCCTTTATCGCTTTCTTCTCTTCCTCCACGCGTCCTCACCTTCCCCCTCCCCCTCTTTTCCTCCCCTTGTCTCCCCATTTCTCCCTCCTCCCTCCTTCCTCCTCCCCTCCTCCGCCCTCCTCCCTCCTCCACCCTCCTCCCTCCTCCCTCCTCCTCCCTCCTTTTCTTCTCCATCCCCCCCCTCCTCCTCCCCTCCACCCTATCCTCCCCTTCCTGTCAATGTTGTCTATATACTCTCATTCCCTCCCCTTTCCCTCCCTATGACCTTCTTTCCCTCTTTCTCTCTTTCCTCCTTCCTTCCTCCATCCTCTTTCCTTCTTATTCCCTTCCCTTTCTGTCCCCTCATCCATCCCTCGTGATCCTCCCCCCTTCCTCCTTCCCCCTTCTACTCTCCTCCCCATCTCCCATTCTTTCCCTCCTCCCCCTCCTTCCCTCTCCCTTCTCCCTTCCCTTCTTTCTACATCATCATCTCTTCTTCTACATCCTCTTCCCTCTCTGTCATTTCCTCCTCTCCTCCTTCTTCCTCCGTCTCTCCCTCTCCTACTTCCCTTCCCCCCTTCCTTCCCCCCACCTTCTCTCCCTACTTTTCTCCCTTTCCCCCTCTCCCCCTCCCTCCCTCCTTCTCTTCCTCCCCCTCCCCCACCTCTCCCTACCTCCCCTCCTCATTCCCTCTCTCATCCCTCCAACTCTCCCACCTCCCTCCCTCTCTCCCTCCCCCTCCCCCACCTCTCTATATCCCCCATCCTCCTTCCCTCCCCCCATCCCTCCCCCTCTCCCACCCTCTCTCTCACCTCCTCCCATCTCCCCCACCTCCCTCCATCTCCTCCATCTCCCACCTCCCCCTCCCTACCTCCCCATCTCCCCCACTTCCCCC